TCAAGATTTTGCTGATGCAGAGACATCTGCTATCCTAGAGAATGCTATAGATGACGTTTCCAGTGGAGTGTCTTGGCTGACGAGTGACATCCCATGAACCACATGCATGGTTTCCCTGAAGGACTTTATGACATGCCCCTCATCATGGATAAACCTGTCAATTTCCAGCCACCGGCCCAACTTCCAGCAGCTGGCTGAGGCTTCCAGCGTTGGAAAGGCCATGAAAGCGCTACGAGCTCATGCCAGAGTTCCTTGCAGTTGACGGTGGGCAGAAGGATGCCCAAAATGGTGGGGAATGCTGTGACAATTCTGGGAAATAAAAATTATATCCCACCAGGTGATCTTTAACTATAATATATTTATCGGATTTGATTATGCAATATTTTTTTAAGCATATATGTTAAACAAAAAAGTTGATAAGAAACTGAAATGTGACTTCAGGATGAGCTGGTAAACACCCTAATCGACTTAGATGATTGAAATTTATCATTGGTGCTCTTGATTGATCGAAACATTTTTGGTTGGCATTCAGGTAGGGTATAGAAATCGATAATCTGGTATTTGGTACCCTCCAACTTTTGACGAAAACATTAAAAACAAAACCCACAAGTCATGGACTGCGAATCATAGATTTTACATTTGCATGCATGATTCAAAAACATCAAATTCCGATTTCTTTTGGAAAGAGGTTGGGCGCCCATGCCCCCATGGGATATGACCTGGAATCTAATACCGCAAAATCAACCATTCTGATCGATCCTAGTTCATCCGATCGTGCAATTACAAGCTTATTATAATGTATATTGTATAACATGGGAGTTATCAATTGATAGTCGAGCGATACGATGCGTTCCCATGGTTCTAAACCTTTTGAAAGGCTTCGATTTCCCTTTCCAGCAAACATGCCTGGAATGCGTGGCTTAGGCATGCTGACACATCTTCAAAGCAATCCACCAAAAACATCATTTGATAGGAGAGTGATTCACATCCTGGTACCAATTGAAGTTGGCATACCGGTGTTTGTTGATTTTACACGAACACATTGAAATTTGTTGATATTAAAACCAACTTGAGTTCCATTAAAGCAAGGCTGGCCTTAGCTGGCAACACCTGAGGCACAGGGCTAGTACATGTTTAGTTCAAGATTTGCATATGTTGCATTTTTTTGCAAGTGAATTTGTGAGTTTTTTGAACACGGTTTCAAAAATGATGCGTGCTGTTGTTGTGGCTGCAGGGGTTGCTGTGGTTGCTATAGCTGGTGAGTTTGTTGTTGCCATCGCTATTGCTGTTGTTGATGGTATTGTTGCAACTTTTTGCTGTGGCCGCCTTTGTTCTTGTATTGTTGTCTTATTGTGTTTGTCTTTGTTATTGTTTTTGTTCTTGTTGTGGTTGGTGCTGTTGCTGTTGCTGTTGTTGCTGCTGTTGCTGCTGCTGTTGTTGTTGCTGTGTCTGTTGCTGTTGGCATTCTGGTTGCTTTTGGTGGTGGGTGTGGCTCTGATATGTTCTGGTGTTAGCTTGTATGTTAGTTTGTTTTCAGGCCCCTTAGCTGGAAATAGTTTTGACATGTTGATTTCCTTCCCATGCACGCAGTCCCAAGCTAAGAACGTTCAGATTCTTCAGTCCATTTCAAGTAATGTTGTGTTTTTTTGAAATGCAATCTGCTCTGGTAGGGTCATATGACATTTTGCAATTCTTTCTAATTTTTTTACCTTTGAACTCTGGTGGATGGAATATCCTTGTGTTACAAATGTTCAATCGGATCATAGTTTCAATTCATTTACGTTCACAGGTCGTAGATGGAGTGTGATTTTGTTTGTTCAATTTGGCTATTGGATTCCTACACCTGAGTTGTTCCAAGTTCTTGCTGCCCAGGACACTGGAAACCGAGTTATGCATCCAGTCTCGCGGAGGCTTGGCAAACTATCGGGCAAGAACAACTCTCGGGATTGGTGGCGTGTCTTAGGAGATGGTCCAGACTCTTGGATGACGGATATCCTTACTGGTGGCTTGCAGGGGATTCTTTTTTTGTGTGCTACATCTTGCATGCTAGGCCCTACATTGTAAAGATACACTGACATTCTAGTAGGCTTTTGCAATGCTTCAAGCTCCAGTGTTACTTGGGTTTTCATTGATATATATAATATTGACAAATGTCCTTTCAAACTGTGTTGGTTTCGTTTAATTACGTGTGGCTGCCTGGAACACAAGGAAATACAAACAATCCGAGTTCCTGTGAAATTCAAAGACTTGAGCGACGGTGAATTCAAGCACCGACTGGAAGACAGACCAATATTGGACCCACACTTAGTAATAGAATACCTATTCAACAAAGCAAAAGTGGCGATTCCTCGTGAGGAGGTTCGAAGGTACTGGAACCACCATTCCCACTTTGGGGAGAAGTGGGCGCAGAGTTGCGACAACTTTGATCGCATTCCTTTGGGGATATTTGGTGACAACGCACGTGTTACCACGCAATATGGCAAAGTTGTGCAGCTAATCGGGATCTTTATGAACCTGGTGCTATGGCGTCCAGGCTCAGTCCGCCTGTCGAGGTTCTTACTTTTCTCCATAGGAGATCATGAACTTTGGGGCTACCATACATTGCAAACTGTTTATAGGAGACTTACATGGAGCCTGAATGCCCTTTGGGAAGGACGACACCCTGAGGCAGGAGCTTGGGGAGACCCTTTAGGGCCAAACCTTCAAAAAAAAGCTGGCAAATGGATAACTCATGACGCGTTACTCTTCCCACAACAGAAGTCAGGGGTGACTGGAGCTGGTTGAAGAAAATATTTCGTTTTGAAAGGACATCGTGGACAGGAATCCAGGTATGCCACCATTGTCGAGCTCTTTCAAGTGGTGAGTGGAAGGACCTGTACTGGAATCTGGAACCTTCCAGTAATTGGTATGATAACATGTTTGACTTGGATGATTGGTGTGAAGAACGCCTGCCTGCTCAGGGAATTTGCAACTTTGTCAAGAAGGTTGATCTAGAGTTTTGTTTTCAGAAAATTGATTTGAAATATGTTGTATCTGTATCCTCAAACTCGTTCATCCAGTTTTATGAGCACATGTTACTGGTAGTTTTGATTTCGCGTTTGATCGACATTTAAGGTCCGCTCATTTCCTTGCGCAACTTCCATCCAACTGTCATACGGTGGTGTTTAATGCATGTGTTTCACCTCGGGCTCCTCTATGATGCCAATGGATCGAGTCTGATGCTTGACCAATTTTGAACAAAAAAACGTATATGGTAAAGAAACAGGAAAAAACGCAATGCATATAACCTTGTATACTTTCTGTGATGGTGGGGTGTGTTGACTGAATTTGCTAAGTCAAGAGAGGTATGACTTCTGAAGGGACCTGCTAGCAAAATTGTTGTTTTTTGTCAGTCCCGTGGCTCCTGCCATCTAAGGAATTTACTGCTGTCCTGTGGGTTTTGGGGCGGCCCTGCTGAATACTCCAGGAGTTTGCTGCTGGCACGTGCTTATCAGGATTTCAAACAATGGTGCAGGGTTAACCGCATACAGTGCTCACAACCAGAGTTCAAAGAATCCATGGTTTCTAGACTCAGAAATTTATTCTTATCTTTCTTTGCTTTGTGAGTGGACATGCTTTGTGGTGATTGATTTGTCTAATGGCACCACACCACATTGGTATTTTTCACTGGGTGCATTTTGTGGTGTATTGTTTGCCCGTAGCAAATTGATAGGTATCTAAGGTATCTACATGATAGTTGGTTTTGTTCCCGTCTGCATGCCCGACCGAGATCTACAAGAAAAACGGTGATGTGCTCTTGACCTTGAAGGCATTCAATGGCCGGTGTGTCATGGAGTGGCTCTCTGAAAGAGTGTACGAAGCACACCAGAACCCTCAGTACTCCGCATTTGACCCTGCAAGATTTTGCGTCATTGCTGGAACCATGATTCTCTCCAGCATTGTTTTTGGAAACGCAGATTAGGGCAAGTTTGTTTTGCATCCCTTGGCAACATACTAGAATTGATAACGTTCTGCATATTTAAATTTTGTAGCCACCGTGAGGGTTTGGTATGTAAAGGTAAATGCGACCAACAGCAGGCAAAGAAAAGCATAGTTTGTTTGGACAGAGTTGAATTTATAAAGTATAGCATGTGGAGAAAAGCATGGTCGCTCCATGAGGCAATGGCCGCAACACATGTGCGTTATATTTTCTATTTGTGCAGTCACAAAATTCCATTAGTGGGCAAGCACATGCACACGCGCATTTTAGATTTTGAACTGCCCCGTTAACAAACTACAAAGTGTGACTTCCCCACTGCTCAGGAAATATGCTGCGAGATTTATTGGGCAGTTGGAAAAGCACGGTCGATATTTGAAACTTGGGAGCATACTGCATGACATAGATTTGATAATTATTGTCGTGGTGGTAAACAGACTTAATCTTGATGAATAACTAGTGGAAAAAATAGCTGAATTTGAATTGGAACGGTTTTCGTTTTTGGGGCGTAACATCTCAGGACAGAAGCCGAAGCCGAGTCCATTTATTCTGATGGGAAAACATTCCTGGACCTGTACAAGAGCAACTCCCAAATGTCAATCAGGCTTGGTAGTTTACTGAACCTTGTTCTTGATGGAGTATCATACCAAGTGATGAGTTGGTGTTTTATCGCTTCATCCTCCACTACCAGGAACAATCTACAGGAATGGATCATGCGTCCAAAGTATCACGAGACTTGTTGTGAATATAAGAACCTGTCAGCTCTGAGTTGTTTGGCGCATTTTTTTCAGATGACTGAACTTGCTATAAAACTGGACTGCGTTAATCTTGGCTTTGTTGTACATTTACTCAAATTCAGCCAAGGGATTATTTCATTTGCTTCGCTTTATGCGCACACGGCGCGCCTAGGCTGCAACCACGTGTGCCCATGCATGCATGAGCATTCAAACTATGAAAGGTCCACTATGAAAACTATGAAAGACCCACCACGAAAGCTAGCTGAAATAATATTAGCCCCAAAATACTAGTCACCCTGCATCTCTTGACACCTTCCAGATCTAGCCCAGGCGTCAACTGCCGTTTCCATCACGGCTTTGTTGATGAAGATGCCATGTCGTGGCTGAAGAGCTGCTTGGCATCATGTGCATGTATGTTGATTGACCTGGTATATTATGCTGGCTTGCTATCTAGCAACTGTTTTTTTTAATATAAGGTATGATACAACTAGTCCCTAGCAGTCCAATCACATGGAAAACATTGGTCGTTACCACGTGTCCGCCTCAGGAACTTATTTGAAAGCTCATCCCTCTCATCGATCTTCTTGGATCTTGAGATGCAGCAAACTAAGGCGTGGTTTGAACATATATGGGGTATGTCCAGTTGGAATGATATGGTTTCATTTGTTCTTTCCAAGTTTGCACCATCCACTCGCATTCAGCACAGCTGCATTTGATGCCAATATCTCCAGGATTATGTCTACCCACTTGAAGATCAAAAGGTTTCTTGACTTTGCACATCAGCCTTCAAACTCTTCTGGTAAATTGCATTGAAATGGTCATGTGGTGTCCAGAGCTAGCACTTATGTTTTATATATCTTGGATCTTATGCATATGTCTGAGCAGCCCAGGTTCAATTCAACGGCCAGGCGCAGGTTGAGGATCAACCGAGCGTGAACTGGAAAAAAAAAGCAGAATGCGCCCAATGGTGTGCATGAATGCTTGCTACAACAAAACGTCTATATGGGCATACAGCTCAAACCCCTCAAACACCCCAGTTGACAAACGGGGTTATGGTAACGACCATTGTTTTCCAAGTGGTTGGACTGCTAGGGTATATATTTCTACCTTCAACTTAAACAATAAAGTTAATCTGCTGAAAAAAAAGAACAATATTAACTTTATGGTTTCCGGTTTAAGGTAGAAAACAACAACATACAACTAAGACTTGGGGGCCCCTTAAACCAAAAAAAAACGAGCCGCCGGCTCCGGGCTCCGCCGCTCCGCCCATCTCCGCCCCGCACCTGCACGGGACCGGGTCAGGGACGTCAGCGCCAAGTGCATGGCTTTGCTCCTCGCTGATCATTTTCATGGGCTAAATATCGTCCACTTACTGGGGTGAGTTCATCTACTTAACCACAAAGTGCTAAGGATAAACCATTTTTAGTAGAAACGGAAATTACTTACTAAGTGTTTTTTTTGTACGATTTTGCTTTTTTATGTGCTAGATGTATTGTTTTTGGCGGGGTTGCTGTGGCTGAAACTAGAGATTTTGCCATCAAATTTTTTGTTGTTGTTGTTTTTTTAAACCTCCACCTATGGCAAAAGCAAATATGTCACCAAATGTGTCTGTGCCACCAACATGTATCTATATATATAGTATAGACACCAGAAATAAACCCTTGATCTGCTCATGCTGAGTGCCGTTCCACCTTTGCAAGGCAAATTTTGTTGCACTAACCATATCTGGGGAATGGCCCAGGTCACTGACCCGTGATGGCGAAGGTGACGGGAAACTTTTGTAGAGGACAGATGATATTCTGTCGCCACACTGTCCAACATACATTGTGGAGACACATGATGAGTTGAGTCGCACCCCTTTGATGACAAGCCTTTGTTATTTGTTGATGTCATCAGTCATCCAAACTCCCTCATGCAACATGCTCGTCATAATTGGCTACCTCGCACTTAATATGGCGATGGGTCAAAATCGTGTACCTCTTATAAACCTCAACATAGCTATTCATCCTCCTCCCTCCCCCAAAAATGGTATAGTAGGTTTTAACCCATCCCGATGGAGTGTGTTCATATCCGGGCTACAATATCTACATATATAATCATATATATATAGCATATAATATATGTATATATAATATCATATTAAAAACACAGGGGATGCTATGGATAAACTCCATACTGCTACTAGCTTTTGATTCATAGCCATCTTCTTGGTAGGCGAAACTCCATGGTCCCCAGGGCCCCTGGCTGCAACAGGGCTTTCAACGCCGTCGGCTCTGCAGGTCTGGAACCTGGGTGGCTTGAAGCCGTGGTCCCTCCACGATCCTTAGGGAAGTTGGGTTATACAATGACAAGATCACCAGGTCAAGCAACTATAAACTGAACCTGCGGTTCATAACTAGACATAACTGTGGTTCATGGTAGATATTTATCGAACTAGTGAATGGTCTTTATAAGCCAACTTATAACTGAGAACATCTTTGTAAACATGCATTCTATAGCTGCGATCATCAAACAAGTAGTGCCAAAGAAGGATGATACATCAAACAATCTTCAAAAGCAGCAACCAGGATTGTTGTGGAACAATTTAGTGTATGACGGAGGCAATCGAAGTCAAAACATCAAAATATAGAATTAGTAGAAGTGGAATTTGTCTTCTGTAGTATGGGATCGGGGCAACTTACACTAGTTGTGTTTAGAAACAATCATGTGTTTTCCATTGTTTTCAATATATAGATTCATATAAACAATATTTATGGTGCGCGGGCGGCCAGCAAAGTCGCCATAATTTTCCCTGTATCGCCCTGATGGAGCTAGTTAACTAATGAGTGCAACTGGGTTATGACCCAATATGTGCACATCTACCAATCTGCAAGTATGGCAAATACACTAAGCCAGTACGATGAGTTGGAATCCATAAGTAACTTACAATGTGGGAAACCCAATCATAAACCTACCATTTGGGAATGGTTCTACCACCCATCAAGATTTTGGGGATATTGGCTTTACCACATCAGTAATCAACAAACTAACTAACTGTTCTGCCTTGTACTGTGAGTACAAAATTAGCCATCAATTACCTCATATAAAAACTCAAACTGCAGAAGTCAAACCTAATATGTGGTTACTTAGCTAGTTAGTTAGTTAGTTAGCTAGTTAGCTAGTTAGCTAGTTAGCTAGTTAGCTAGTTAGCTAGTTAGTTAGGTAGGTAGGTAGGTAGGTAGGTAGGTAGTTGGTTAGTTAGTTAGCTAGCTAGTTAGCTAGTTAGCTAGTTAGCTAGTTAGCTAGTTAGCTAGTTAGGTAGGTAGGTAGGTAGGTAGTTGGTTAGTTGGTTAGTTAGTTAGTTAGTTAGTTAGTTAGTTAGTTAGTTAGCTAGTTAGCTAGTTAGTTAGTTAGTTAGTTAGGTAGGTAGGTAGGTAGTTGGTTAGTTAGTTAGCTAGCTAGCTAGTTAGCTAGTTAGCTAGCTAGCTAGTTAGCTAGTTAGCTAGTTAGCTAGTTAGCTAGTTAGCTAGTTAGCTAGTTAGGTAGGTAGGTAGGTAGTTGGTTAGTTGGTTAGTTGGTTAGTTGGTTAGTTAGTTAGTTAGTTAGTTAGCTAGTTAGCTAGTTAGCTAGTTAGCTAGTTAGCTAGTTAGCTAGTTAGCTAGTTAGGTAGGTAGGTAGGTAGCTAGCTAGCTAGCTAGCTAGTTAGCTAGTTAGCTAGTTAGCTAGTTAGCTAGCTAGCTAGCTAGCTAGCTAGGTAGGTAGGTAGGTAGGTAGGTAGGTAGTTGGTTAGTTGGTTAGTTGGTTAGTTGGTTAGTTGGTTAGTTGGTTAGTTAGTTAGTTAGTTAGCTAGCTAGTTAGTTAGTTAGATAAACCACTCTATCTGCAGTGTACCACTCAGCTGGTCCCATCGTCATCGTCCAGATACTGGTCCCTCTCGACGCCGACGGCGCGGACGACGCGCTCAAACGCTCCTGGGATGTTCACCGGTCAGATCGCCCATCCGGAGGATACAACGTAACCTCCCCCAGTGATTTTTATTTTTTGGTTAACAAGAACCCCATAAATACTCTAGACTCTATATGTATATATATATATATTATATGTATATATATATATATAGATATATATATATATATATACATGTATATTATATATATATATATACATATGAATCATAAACCATAGGTCCTCGAGTTATGTTCACCCAACTCAGCTATCGTAAACGGGGGCCCAACTTGTATAGTTTTCGCTGGCGTGCGGAGGTGAAGTCAAATCACTCAGAATTTTATCCCAAAGTGGTCGTTTGAAAACGAGAACAGGATGATCAACCATCAAATTTGGTCAATGGAATACCCCATCTTCAGATATATATAACTGTTATGTACATATATATATATATATGTAACTTTTTGTTGTCCAGTTTTGCCCCTTTTTTACATGTTTGATCCATTCGTAAGAAATGCACGAAATGGTCAAATCAAAGGCCTCCTCCGATTCCACGATGCGAATGGTTGAACTTGTGGAATCATGTTGAGTTTCGACTGACACTGTGTCTCCCCAGTTCGAAATGGTTGACCAAGACTGACACTGTGTCAAAGTGCTTCAGAAATCTTCAGATCTATAACATATTATAACATATTATACCCTCTGGTAAACAAGTATGGAAAATCACCGTTTTCAATGGGTAAATCGACTATAGATAGCCATTTTCAATAGCTATGTTGACATAACCAGAGGGTAACATATTATAACTATAGTCAATTGGATCTTCAGATCTGGTGAAATTCTGCCAAAAAAAACCATCATTCAAGACGTGATGAAGAAGACGTGATTCAAGAGGTGTGTTCACTCGGATCTGCGAGGTTTTCTCCCTCAAATTCTGGTCACAGCCAAACTTTTCAGTGGTTCGTTCCTAATATGTGTTTTGCAAAGTGTTTTCTTTATAAAGCCCTGCAAGAACATGAAATTCACATGTTTCATCATGTTTCACTATCAAACTCTATAACATCTCAATTGCTTCTTGGTTTTCGCCAATGATCTTTAAAAAACCATGTTTTTTCTGGTTGGTGGCATGGTGGTTTCAACCCCTCTGAAAAATCATGGAGTTCGTCAGTTGGGGTTACTATTCCCAATATGAATGGAAAGTCATAAAATTCCATGGTTCCAAACCACCAACCAGATTTATTGTTATTCCAATTATTGACCATTATTAACCATAGATTAACCATAGATTAACCACCAACCAATATATGGAAAACATAAAAAAATGCTCCAAACCACCAACGGGTTATGTTCATCTTCGCCGTGCCTGCCAGAGATGCAGCACTTGAGCCACGTCCGCCACCATCAGCCGTGCGGTGCCTGCCAGGATGATGCCCAGGATCCCTGGACTGGACTGGACCCCCCAAAGGATCGCCAGTTGGTCAGTTAGTTAGGTATGACTGGTATGACTTACCAACAAAATATGGTGATTTGGCATGTTTTTTGGCATGTCTTTTTGGGATGTCGTTCTGTGAAATCTTAGGGTATCTGATTTTTTTGAACGTAGAGCTTTAAGCACCAAACAATGGAGATTTAACAGTTAATCATGAAACATGTAGATTGATAGTATTTTTTTGAGAGCTAAGTTGGTTTATCACTAGGCTAACCATGCTTTGTGGTGGTTACTGTATATCTATAGCTAGATAAGGGTTACAAACCTACTCTTAGCTGCGGAGTCCTTCCTGTATGGGTATAGCTATACCAATATTTACCTACAACGATTGCCAAATGTAGGTAAATATACCATATAGTAATATAGTACATCGAGCAAGTGTGCTACCTTTTGTTCCCTGTTTGATGGTTGGTTGACCTAATGACAGAAAGGCCCCCAAGACACAGGAAAGGTGGATTGAGACTTGGCCAAGAATTGGGTCTTACGGCGGATATAATTGCAGATGGAAGGGCGGAAATTAACCTATTTATAACTGGGGGGCTCTAGCTTGCTGCAGGTGTGTTTGTTTTGAGATGTACCCTCTGGTTATTTAACATAGCCATGGAAAATGGTCCATTTATAGATCATTTTTCCAGCTATAAACCTCCATTTACGCGAGGGATTTTCCAGTTCGCTATGTTAAATAACCAGATGGTAATGTCTTTGGACCTGTTGTTTGTTGTTTCTAGCATGATGGATGCGTGTTGCTGTTGGTTTCCAAGGGCAAGACAATTTTACTCTGTTGGATTCATCTTTGAAGGTAGAATAAACAAAAATCATGTATATATAATGTAACATAATAATATATCATATAAAATAAATAATATTATATGATATAATACAATATAATATAAAATATGAAAATATTTTATATAATATAATATAGCATAACATAATATAACATAATAATATATAATATATAACATATATATATATTATGAACTAATATAATAATATATTTGATATGATATATTATATATAAATATAATATAAATAATATAATAAAATTTAATACAATAAAAACACATAATATAAAATATTATATGATAGACTATAAAAATATATAATATAATATAATAAAGTGTAATAAAATTAACTATAATATAATATAATGTAATGTAATGAAATTTAATATAATGTATAACATGATAAAAATGATATAATAAAATAAAATAATAAAACATATTTTAATAAAATATAATAAAATATAATATAATATATAACATGATAAAACATATAATATTATATAATATGATATGATGTAATATAAAATAATATAATATCATATAATATTTATATAAAAAAAAAAAACTAATATATAAAATATATAATATATTATAATATATTTGATATATTATATTTAATAATATATATAATATAATATATATATATATATATATAATATTATATATATAACAAAACATAAAATAATACAATATAATATAATATAATATGCTATGATATGATAAGATAATAATATATATATAGTGGAGAAAACTAGAGAAAAACAACACGTATTCCAATTTGAACCATAAGAAAACAGTATGAAGCCATCATGAACAAAGGAGCCAAATAGAAAAACATCATGCTTTGGGTAGGTGGAATAGTAGCACCTTGAAAAACCACCAGCCAGATGTGTTTTGAAGCCAGCAGCCAGCAGGATGGAGACAGTATAATCTCCACAGATCAGTACAAATCCATGCGTTAGCCTGAGTAGCTAAATCATCCACCATACATCTATCATAAATCAACCGCAAATGTCCATAAATCTATCGTAAATCAATGTCCAAATCTTCAAAAGAAACTCCCGGACCCTTTGAACCTGACGACTCCAACTGCTTGGCCTCTTTCACAAATTGCTGCGCCTCAGCAACGCGTCGGTGGTCCCGGGTGACCCGATGATACGTCCGTTGCACTTCCTATAGGACCCTCTAGTAAACATACAAAAAACCATGGAAAATCACCATGTTTGATGGGCAAATCAACTATAAATGGGTCATGTTCAATAGCTATGTTGAATTACCAGAGGGTAATTTCCAACACGCTCTTAATTCTTGACATAATGACTATTGGGCGCGAAACTGAAAAACACCAGCGCCGCTATCCCCGTCGTGACCTTGTTTACAATTGTTTACAGGTCAAACATGGACTTAGATGATCTTAGATGGATCATGTTCCATAGCAAACTGTAACAATGTAACAACATTACCGGCAGGTATATGAAATCAATGTATTCCGTTATATATATATATCCAATCAAATTCATTAAATGATATATAATTAGCTATATATCTCCATGGGATCCCATGAAATTATCTATACATTCCAAGAATTTGGCATGAAAAATGCCATGGAAAGTCAGCCACATCTGCAGGAAGTCGTCCGAGACTCCAGGTCGCTGCTGCGACGGGGTGAATCCTGGGTGAATCTGTTGGAAGCTGATGAGATCCAGGGACACAAATTGAAAACATTTTTTTCAAAGAAACATCAAGGGAAAATCAATGTTGAACACATGGGTGCAAGCTGGGACATTTACGGATATGAATATATATGTAAAAATAATATGAGTTATATAAAGGGTCCTTTGTTTGGTATCTAAGGGCTTGTTAACTTATTAACCGTCTTTCTCAGTGTTCAAAACCTGCTTGGCACCGTCGATTCAAGACTAGTCATGGGTTGAGAACGAGATTTCCCGGTCATGGATTGTAACAATCCCTAATATAACGGTTAGAATAATCCCATATCGTCAACCAACCGGGCTTTAGCAGCCACTGCTCATCTGGCTATATCTGGCTTGTTGGGGGGTCACCTTTTTAGGGGGGTGAATCGTTGAAGATTTCTTTCCAGATCATCATGAAACATATATCGACGTCATCATGAGCTGATTGTGGCCGCTGCGATATGTTTTTCCGGGTTGGACTCGTTCATGATGAAAGAAGCAACTTGGATGTGGCTGCAAAAATGTGGACGAAAAACCTCAAAAGATGGAGACTTGACCATTTAGGGATTGGGAAAGTGCACCAACAAAATGGTAAAGATCAAGATTGGAACCTATAGTCATCAATGGGATTGCCCTAATTGAGACGCACAGTTGTTATGTCTAAACTGGACAAGCCCAGGAAAATCCATGACCCAAGTGGGTCACGTGTCACACCGGTGAGGATTCAACTTCGTGGTGGTAAACAGTCACTGATGTGGCTTGGTATCTCAAACTTCATGCTGTTCTAGAAACCGAAAAGAACGGCTTCGAAAAGACCAAAAGGTACAAAAAGATGTTAATAGCATGATGATGACCATTATAGATATCCTCTGGTAATTCAACATAACTATTGAAAATTGATATATATATATATATTTGATTTACCTATAAAATATGGTGATTTTCCATAGTTTTCTGTATGTTTACCAGAGGGTAATCTGCTGTGGTTTGGATGATGTGGATCCTTTTCCATGACCAGATCCCAAGCCTCTGATGTGAGACCCAAAGATGACACACCGCCAGTCACCTGCTGCGCTGCTTGGCGGCTTATCCCGGATCCCAAAGTCTAACTTTTTCTCGGAGATAAGAAAAAGGGAAGCCATCTATATATATATATATATATACAATGGATGTAAATCTTGGATTATGGCCAAAATCCAATCAGCATGTGATTTCTTTGCGTTCCAATTCCATCGCACATCAGAAGCTGGAACTCATGTGGCATTGACCAAGTTCATGGCTACAATCCCAGCCAGGAAGATCTGGGATGCTCCCAAACCCCTAGATTCTTGACCATTAACCCAGCTTTGCAACCCAACAGCATACCTGAATCTTCCACCTACGTCTTTTTTCAGACCCTGTGCCAAAGTCCTGTTTTTTCAGTACCCAGAAAACTTTTCAGGACCTACTCTCAAATTCAGGACCTGGCCATTTTGGGGTATCAATGGTAATGGCAATCATTGGGTGCAAACATGTGAAACCAACATTTGGTGGATATTCAAGCCATTGGCATTGATCCACGCAAATAAAAGCACTCCCAGCCCAAACTCATGGCAAGGCAGGATCAGAATATAGTATATTCCAGAAAGTATGTCAGAATAGATGCCAGATAGGATGCCAGAAAGAATGTCAAATAGAATCTCAGAAAAGAATGTAAGATAGTATGTCAGAACATATATGCCACATATACGTCCAGATGATATGTCAGAAACTATGTCAGAATAGTGTGTCAGGGTGGGGATCACTCTTAGTAAGGCAATTTTGAAAATATATTTCAGGTTCCGAATTTTCAAACTGTTGTCCTTCAGGCGCCGAAGCTCCCGTTGAAGGTCAGCATCGTCCCATGTCAACTGGTCCAGTCCCACTTCCATTTCAACAAGTCCAATTTCATCGATTAGGGTGTTGGTTGAATGGACTTGGGACTCTAGCTGGCACGGCATCCCTTGTAACCCTGTAGACACTGTAGTGGGCAAAAAGATTGTAACACACAGAATCAGCATCATTTTGATCAGGCATTATTTTTGCTAATCCTTTCTCCCTATTACGAAAAATACCCCCAAAATGACAAAAACTAGGTGCGATTTCCAATTTTGGGAAATGTCAAATTGGTTAATCTGATTTTTAATTGATCCCCTTGAGGAAACAATTTTAAAAATGAAGGTACCATGTGAGGGTTTCACCCCCAAAGAATAAAAAACTAGTCAACACCGGGGTGTCTTTTATTGGGGTCCGTCCTTTAAAATCGTCAATTTTAGTTTTTTTTAATTCAGGTGTTGGTGTTTTATTTGATACTAGGCGAAAGCTTCGAAATCCTATTCTTGGCAGTATTCTATTTAAAGATTATTTTCATGGATTTTGAATTCCTTCCCCCTGTTGCTAAACAGTCGCCCCTTCACCCACCCACCCAAATAACAAACACCTGGAGGAGTTTTTAGTATTGGGGGGGTCTTTAGTATTAGGGTACGAAGCTTCCCCCTAATACTGATAAAAAAACACACACACACATATATATATACACATTTCTATTTCAAAATCGATCAGGTTTCTTTCTTTTTAAATCCAATTAAAATATGGCAAACAAGTGGATTCCGAAGCTTAATATCAAATAAAAACTCCCAACATAAAAAACTATGTATGCTTTTCTATTTCGAAATCGATTAGATTTCCTTTTAAAATTAAATAAAATATGGCCACAAAATTGGATGTCGAAGCTTTTCCCTTATATTAAACCCTAATATCATTTTGTGTTTTTTTTCCTGTTTCAAAATCGATTAGATTTCCTTTTGAAATCTAATAAAAAAACAAAAATTGATTTTGAAGCTTTCCCCTAATATCAAATTAAAATCCAATTATTAAAATATGTTCAAAAATTGGATTTCGATGCTTCCCCTAATCTTGCATGAAAAATTCCAATATAAAAAACTAAATTTGTTCTATTTCAGAATCGATTAGATTTCCTTGTAAATTCAAATTAAGATATTGCCAGAAATTGGATTTCGAAGCTTTCCCCTCATATTAAACCCTCATATCAAAGACTATTTTTTCTATATCAAAATTCATTAGATTTCCTTTTGAAATCTAATTAGAATATGGTCAAAAATTGGATTTTGAAGTTTTCCCCTAATATTACATTAAAAAACCCTAATATAAAATATTACTTTTTCTTTTTTTGAAATCGATTCGATTTCCTTTTAAATTGTAGTAGCAAAAATAAAAACAAAAACCGGATTTCGAAATGTTTCCTCTAATATTAAATTACCAGCCCTAATATATTTAAAAAAAAAACTGCTTCAAAATCGATTAGTTTTCTGTTTAACATATAATTAAGATATTGCTAAAAATTGCATTTCGAAGTTTTCCCCTAAGATTAAATTAAAAACACTAATTTAAAAAAAAAACTGTGTTTTTTCGATTTCAAGAATCGATTAGATTTCCTTTTGACATCCAGCAAAAATATTGCCAGGAAATGCCAAAAAGTGGATTTCGAAGTTTTCCCCCAATATTATATAAACGTTGTAATATAAAATACTTATTTTTTCGACCTTAAAAGACCCTAGTTTAAAAAATCACCGGGGCTGACTAGTTTTTATTTTTTGGTGGTGAAATCCTGAAATGGGACCTTCATGTTTAATTTGTTTTTGAAAAGGTATCAATTAAAAGTCAAACTGGCCAGCCTGAAATTTCCCAAAATTCAACGCGGACCCTAGTAAAAGGAATCAATGTAATATTTTAGTATTTAGGGTACGTTTAGTAAAAGGAGGTGAGGATTAGTAAGGTTTTCAATTTAATATAAGGGGAAGCTTCGAAATCCAATTTGGCAAGATTTGAGTTAGATTTTGAATAGGAATTCAATCGGTTTTGAAATATAAAGTTCATTTTTTAAAACGAATGTTTTCAATTTAATGTCAGGGGGAAGCTTCGGAATCCAATTTTGGCAATATTTTAGTTAGATGTTATTTAAAAAATGTTTTCCAATTTAGTTTTTTTAACCAAGGGGGAAGTTTCGCACCCTCATACTAAATACCCACTAAATACAAAAAACTATTCCGTGTGTTCATTATTGGGTGGGGAGGGGCAGACGGTTTATTATGACGCAGGGATTGGTCAGGCATCACTTGCTGGAATTATTGGATTCTTTTGGGATGATTGGTATGATGTTTAGTCAGGCATGGTTCCCTTCAGTCATGCACGATTTTTGCAAAAATCCTATTTAGGCACGACCCCAAAATCCCAGCCCGGCAAATTCCGGCCCGGGCCCGGCAAATTCCGGCCCGCGCCCTGCAAATTCCGGCCCTGTGTTTTTCCAAAATCAGGCAAAACCAGTAAATCAGGTATTAAGTCAGGTGTAGTTACCTTTTAAGTCATTAAGGCTAGTCAGGCATGGTTCCAGTGGGTACCTTTTAATTGTGAAGGCTAGTCAGGCATGGTTCCCTGAATTCAGGGGCATGGGTACCTTTTAATTATGAAGGCTAGTCAGGCATGGGTTCTGTTAAGTCAGGCGTGGGTGGGTACCTCTTAATTATGAAGGCTAGTCAGGCATGGTTCCCTTAAGTCGGGTGTGGTTACGCTTTAAGTCATGAAGGCTAGTCAGGCATGGGTACCTTTTAAGTGATGAAATCTGAATCAGGCGGAGCTCCTATTCTAAATGTGTTAAATCCAATTGTTCAGTGTGGAAAATCGATTTTTTGGCTGGTCTACGGGCAAACCCTGTGTCTTCCAATACCATAGCGTGCTGATGTCGCTTGCCTGCATAATAGTTAAGGCCAAAGCTTAGGTCATCAGTGTGATCCTGAAATGGCGCCACGACCAAGAAGATGACATGTGTAAAGTGGGCCCTGGATTAACAAAGGCTGACTAATGAATTTGGAGGATGCCACTAAAGTATGACATGTAATCACTTTTGAGGAGCACTCTATGGCACGCAGCGCGCGCAGCCTGCTTTACGGTTTAGCGTTTGAAAGTATTAGGCTTTGCCTCTATGGCACGCAGCGTTTGAAAGTTTAACCGTTTACCTCTATGGCAGGCTGTGCGCGCAATACGCCTTACGGTTTAAAGTTTGAAAGTTTTAGGGTTTATGTGTGTGGCACGCAGTGCGCGCAGCGCGCATTAGGGTTTAGGGTTTGGAAGTTTTATCGTTTATTTTATTGCATGCAGCGTGCACAGCGTGGGTTGAACTTTAGGGTTTCGAAGTTTTAGGGTTAACCTCCATGACACGATGGTTTAGGGTTTGGAGATTTTAAGGGGTACTTCTATGGCACACAGCGCGCGCAGCGCGCGTTAGGGTTTAGGGTTTAGGGTTTGGAAATTTTAGGGTTTACCTCTATGACACGAGAGTTTCAGGTTTGAAGATTTTAGGGTTTATTTCTATTGCACAAAGCGCGCGCAGCGCGCATTAGTGTTTAGGGTTTGAAGGTTTTAGGGTTTATCTCTGGCACGCAGCGCGCACAGCACGCATTAGGGTTTAGGGTTTGGAAGTTTTAGGGTTTATTTTATTGCATGCAGCGCGCACACCGCGGGTTAAACTTTAGGGTTTGGAAGTTGCATAACACGATGGTTTAGGGTTTGGAAATTTTAGGGTTTACTTCTCTGGGGCACAGCGCGCGCACCGCGCATTAGGGTTTAGGGTTTGGAAGTTTTAGGGTTACTTTATTGCATGCAGCGCGCGCAGCGCGCATAGAGTTTAGGGTTTGGAAGTTTTAGGGTTTCAAGGGTTCCAAGGTTCCAGGGTACCAGGGTCCCACGGTTTCAGGGTTCCAAGGTTTCCAGGGTTCCAAGGGTTCCAAGGGTTCCAGGGTTTCAGGGTTCCAGGATCCCAGCAGGGTGCCAGGTGTGCAGGGTTGCAGGGTTCCAAGGTTCCAGGGTTCCAAGGTAGCAGGGTTCCAGAATCCTTGAGGGTTCCTGGGTGCCAAGGTTCCAAGGTTTCAGGGTTCCACGGTCGCAGGGTTCCAAGGTTCCAGGGTTTCAGGGTTCCAGGGTTCCGGGGTTCCAGGGTTCCAGGGTTCCAGGGTTCCGGGGTTCCAAGGTTTCAGGGTTCCAGGGTTCCAGCGTACCAGGGTCCCACGGTTTCAGTGTTCCAAGGTTTCCAGGGTTCCAAGGGTTCCAAGGGTTCCAGGGTTTCAGGGTTCCAGGATCCCAGCAGGGTGCCAGGTGTGCAGGGTTGCAGGGTTCCAAGGTTCCAGGGTTCCAAGGTTGCAGGGTTCCAGAATCCTTGAGGGTTCCAGGGTGCCAAGGTTCCAAGGTTTCAGGGTTCCACGGTCGCAGGGTTCCAAGGTTCCAGGGTTTCAGGGTTCCAGGGTTCCGGGGTTCCAGGGTTCCAGGGTTCCAGGGTTCCGGGTTCCAAGGTTTCAGGGTTCCAGGGTTCCAGGGTTCCAGGGTTCCGGGGTTCCAAGGTTTCAGGGTTCCAGGGTTCCAGGGTTCCAGGGTTCCAGGGTTCCAGGGTTCCATTCCGGATTTTGAAGGCTGCAAGTCCCCGCGAGCCAGACCCCAGCCCTAGAGATTGAAACCCAACAGGCCCTGCTGTTGGGAATTTATCTATCCAATTATTCAATTTCAATCAGTTTCACCTAGATTTCGGAAATCATTTTCCTACAGGTCGCAGAAAAACCCTGATGAAAGCCATGCGAAAGCGGAGCTGCACATACCTGTGGTGATCATCACTGAGACACCAAGGCACCTTATCGGCAACGTTGCTCCAAGCTGCCTGTGACCGCATGGCCGGCAAAGGAAAGGGATTTTTGTTAGGGGAAGAAGGCCACGCCAAGACATGAAAAAAGAATTCGAAAAATATTTAGTAATATATATATATATAGATATAGAATTGGAACATGTACTGTATATATATATATACATAATATATGATTTCCTCAAAGGGTCATGTGTTATCAGGAAAATTAGGGAATATGAGCATTGATGATGGGATTTTGGGGAAGCTTGATTTTCAGATCCATATATGTCTGCACTTGTACCTGGCTGCCCGGATATATATGGATATGATATACAATATACATATATATATATTAGTCTATATGCCACATGAATATTTCATTGTAACTGTCATCCCAGGTGGCAATAAACACATATTTGACACTCTCAACCAGTGGTGATAAACGACATGTTCCCCCAAACCTTTTGACAGGACCTGGTGGGTTGAATCTTTACATCTGAACGGTGCCCTTTGGGCACATTCCAGGCATGGAAAAATAACCAACTTCGAAGCACATCCAAAAATCACCCACCCAGGTCAGCAAATATTGACCATAATGTGGGCAAAAACAATGTCATAATCCATGACTGGGAATGGTTTATACTATATACCACTTATTTATGGTGATTTGGGGGATGGTTTATGATCGTAGGGAATCCTATGTCCAGGTCCAGTTCCCCTAAAATCCAATGAGGGCAAGCATCATTTTCCCAATTAACAAGCCATGTTGAGGTATGCCTCGTTTTTGTTGGACAAACCCAAATCATACCAAATCACATTCCGTTGCTTCTATTCCTTTTACATCCGCATTAAATCCCAATTGTATGCTCACAACATCCAAAGGATATCGCGCAAATTCATACTGTGAAAAAATATCAACAAATACGACATATCCCGTTTCTCTCGCTTAAAGCGCAACTCCCTAATTTCTGGACATAGATCCCCAACAAAACTGGGCAAGTCATATCGCTAAACATATAATACATCTCATTACATCTCCCTCTTGTATCAATCGAAACGCCGTATGAAATAACTATGTAGGTAATAAACCAACTTAATAGTAGGGGAGCACTACCTTGTAACATCTTGTAACGATACCCATGTTAGCTCCATGGTGCTATCAAGCTGGTGCAACTTTCCTCTAGCTTGGGATTGCAAGTTGATTGCCAACCAACGAAAAATATCCTCATGTTCCCACCCCCTCAATAAGGATCAACCAATGGGAATTTCAGGATCCAACAGATGGAGGTATGTAAACGTACCATATGTTTGGCCATATTTTATGGGGATGTTCCCTGAAATTTAGGCCTTAAAAAAAGGCCTTATATATGGTAGGTACCTCCAATAAATCGGATCCTGAAAATCCCATTGAAACCAATGGATTTAGAGGTACCAATATTCTCAGACAGACCTGTAGTTGGGATGATGTAAACTAACCAATGGGATGGTTTATGGCATTGGGCTATGGGTTCACCACATTATATACCATAATCATCTTTGGGTTTACCAGACTTGTACTATAACTGTTTACCATCATGATCAGCCATGTTTTGGCTTTATGTACCACATTATCTATTGGTTGATGGTTTACGGTAAAAAACCAGAACCACAACTCAACTATTGGGTTATTTTTTATATGAACAAATGAGTGCAAACAACCATCATCTGATCACGATACTGGTGATGATCATAATCACAATAAACAGCAACAATAACACTTCACAAAATATAATGATCATGTATAAATTGTATAAAACATATATACTTAATACTTTATACTAGATACTAATAGTATAATTGCGATTTATACTATATATTGTATAATAGTAATGTAGTAATATAGTTATACATATATATAAGCACATAAAAAAACACCAATAAACAACCAACAGGTAATCCCATTCGAAGCCGAAACGCCAAAACCGCTTCGCCGCTGCGCCTCACTTTGCTCCGCCAAGTTCTGCGCTGACGCCAAGAAGTGTTCGCCCAGCTGGGTCAGCTCGGCCTTGCGGGCCGGATCTGTCGGAAAGCCGTTGGCCCAACGAAAAACGGGTTTCGTTTAACAAAAACCATGGATTTCATCTACAAACTTGGGAGTTTAGATGAGTTTATCATAGATTTTTCCATGTTTATCCCAGAGACACTTGAGTCAATACGTGTTTTTGTTGTTTCACATGTGTTTTGCACTAAAAACTTCCACTTGAAATTGGGCGGAACATGAACCAATCCCTCCAGCCGTCCAAAAACATTGCCCACGATCAAAAGACCATTCACCAAGGTTGTCCCGTTCTGAATCTTTCTGAATGATGGCTTAATAAATTTCCATATCCCATAGGATCCATGTATGGTATATATGCTAACATTGGGGGTATATTGATGGTAAATGTTACCATATATAGCATACATGGATCCTATGGGTATATAATATATGCTATGATACCAAATGGTGATTAAATTTGGCTTATATGGGATACTAACAGCAATAGTGATTACGTGGGATTTGATACCCTCCGGGAATCAAACGTTCCAATCGATGATTTCCCCCTTAGTGCGGGGATTATCATGTCTGATGACCGGAGGATACCGGAGGGTTGTGGTTGTCAATAGTTCAAATACCCACTGAACATTTTCCACCCATGATCAAATTTGTTGTTTGGGTTGGTGCAAAAGAGGGATACCCAAACAACTTCCAAAGGTGCATCATATGTATGAACCCTCACTTGATGGTGCGCCTCACAATGAGATTTCCTTTACATACGTTTGCCAGTTCTGGGGTGGTCAACTGAGGATCTGGGCATGTTAATTCAAATCGACAAAAAAACACAGAAGATCATGTGACATAGTCCACTGGAAGGAAGGCTTCCTGTCTTCTACAACTTGCCTACTTGGCGCCTCATCCCACTTATATAGTAGGTATAACCAAGGTTTTCTCACCCACCAACTGAGATAAACCACCAAGTTCGTCATGCCAGATAAATCACCATCCTACAATGTGGGCCCCCGTTTACGATAGCTAAGTCGAGCCACATAACTCCGATCATTGGGTTTACGATACTTGTAATTAACAGCTTATAAACATACAATGTGAGGCCCCCCAGTTATAAGTTGGTTTATAAGCCCCAGTAAGTATAGTTATAAGTACCATAAACCATAGTTATTGAAGTTATAAACCAACTTAGATATCTTGGGGGCCTCACATTGTACTATTCATGTTTTTTGGTTAACCAAAAACCATAACATGACTGAGCCCCCCACGCTGTAGCGGAGCTATAACTCCCCCCATCCGACCCGGTCGCCTGCTCTGCCAAGCGCTGTACCGAACTGGCGGCGCGACTCAACGTGTCGCTGAACTTTTGGTTCCACTCCTAACGACGAAGCGAATAGGTCGAACAGGTGAACGTTTGGAGAGATTGGTGTTAATCATTCGATGATTTTGAGGATCATTGCTATCACTGTATGTCAGCCTTATGTCAGCATACAAAATGACTGAGGATTGAGGATTATATACTACTCTTAATCCGCAAGATCAGGTAAATACATAATACACTCATCACCATGGCATAACACTTGCTGTGCAATGTTTTTTGAGGATTACTGCAATATGGAACCCCTATGTAACTAAGTTGGGGAACATAACTCCAAAAACCATGGTCTATGAATGCTTATGATACTGATTGATACTTATAACATCTTATACTATACTTAACGGGTTTTTTAAAGCCATTAAACACAAACTTATAACTGGGGGGCCCGCATTGTATTCATCACTACCGGTTTTGATCCGCAGCGTGAGGCCTGTGCGCCACCGCGGAGCCACGACATGGCGGACCAGGACTGGGAGATGACTGGGACCCTACAGTTATGGTCCTTTACCAGTTATAAGTACTAACAAAAACCCATTTATAGAATTTCTAATCCCATTTATAACCAGTTATAACTAATAAATGGCCATAACTGTAGGAGTTGGAGTTGGAACACCAAAGTTGCGAACATGTGTTTTCTCCATTGCTTTCATTTTGTTTGAGAAACCCAAGTTGGGAACGTGGAGAAAAAAACTCCTGGAGTCGAGGGTGAATGACCCCTTTGAGGAGTGTTCCGCAACTACATTTGCACAACTTGTTGCCAAAGAATATTCGGAAAGCAAACTGATGACTTGAGATCCTCAGTATAAAGAACTATACAGTATACCGATTATTTGGGCTACCTCGAACTCGAACTCATCCGAATTCCAATGAAGGCCCTGAATCACACCATAGCCCCGTTGGCTCTTATGACCTTTCATCAGTAACTCGGCTATCCAATCTGCGAAACATGTCTGCGACCAACAGCTACTTCTGCTTCCAAGAAGCGTCTCCAAGTCTGCACAATATTTAGGAGTGGATGGTATCCTGTCCTCAGGCCAATCCTTGACAAAAACCTAGACAAGAACGCAAACAATAAGAATAAGAACTCAAGAGCCTTGTCATGGCATTTCATGAATTCGCTCGAGCCAACAAATGCGGTTGGGATCTGAACATTGCAGTTATGGCCATTTATTAGTTATAACTGGTTATAAATGGGATTATACATTCTATAAATGGGGTTTTGTTAGTACTTATAGCTGGTACAGGGCCATAACTGTGAACATTGTCTGAAAAGGATTCCAAATCGGACTAGCTTGTAGTGAAGTGGAGCTAGGAGTTCCTGGATATTCCTGGATGCTACTAGTATAGCTGGAAAGCGACATCTCATGGTGCCAAAATGGTGCTATGAAACCATTGACCACAGGAGGTGCTATGAAACGCAAAGAAGTGTCAATGCAAAGCAGAACCTGGAAGTTTCATGAAGTTTCTGGGTAAATCCTAATAATTCACTAACCTGGAAATAAGACCATATTGGGATAATTCCCCTTGCTAACCATGATTCCAGTGAGGTCGCAGTGAGGTCGTTATAATTTACCCAGAAGTTTGGAACTGCAAAAAGTGACATGCGTTTTTTTTCACTTGGCACCAACCACAATGCCCAAAACTTGTTGCACTTCAAGGTACAACATGATCTCTGGAGAAGTTGTTACATACCAGAACCACATGAGAATAATGGCTAAAACATCACTTGAACTGACTTCAGCAGAGCCCGGTTAACTTTCTGTTTCACCACATCTGTCGAGAAACACTTTTTTCACCAAGGGCCTTGGCGCTGCAAGGAACTCATCTATATTATTTTCTAGCAAGGCATCTCTCTCTCTCTCTCTAATTGGCTTTGGTCCTGGCGAGAAGCTCTGCTGCAAATTCTGCTTGGGTCGCTAGCGCCACGGCAAAGGTCATTTAAAACTGCATTCTCTGTGCCATGCGCTTCTCCCAAATGTCTTTCAGCAGCACCGCAGCCGTGCGATTGCAGCAACGAATTTTCAAATTGCATCAACTAGCTTAAACCATGGAATTTAAAACTCGGTCCTTTTTCCGAAATCCAAAGACCTTCAACTAATTGCTTAAGATTTTTGCCCCCAACTGTAAACATCTAAATAACCCAATCCATTGACCTATTCCAACTCTTCCATCTTGGACATGTCTTCAGTCTCCAAATGGATATTGTTCATATCCTCGACGTCGAGCTCTCCTTCCGCCTCCGCCTCACTCATGGCCTGGAGTCCCTCGCGTGTCTCGATCAAACCTGACATCAGGCTGACTGACCGAGAAAGTAAACGTCTTCACCACATTTAACGACCCTGAAATTTTCCAGGCCCATTTATATCAAATCCTTTAACCAGGTTGAACCACGAACATTATGCTTAAAATTCTTTGATGATCACTGACTTGGTCGTTGTAACCATGTTAAGCACAAAACTAACAACATGTTATATTACATTAACTATCATTATAAATACATGGCGTTGGTTTACCAAACAAACACATTTAACAAAAATTATCGATGTACCTACCATAAACCATATTCAAACTAGTGAACTATGCGGCCCCACCTTGCAGTTCTTATTGCCTAAAATCCCAAGTCTTACGGTTGAAATCCCATTGTTTGTCCCTATAGTTTTGCTGGACATGCTGTATCTCAGAAAGTGGCAGCCAGTTACCCAGATGTTCCCCGGGGAGCAATCGAAGAATTACAGTATCTTGGCAAGTAACAATTCCTCAGACCTAAAAAAGGTAATATTGGGGAATATTCTCCTGACAATAACCATCAGCATTTCTCACAAAGAGTTTCTTGGTTTTTAAACGTCTTAATACAATATATATATATATGCGTACATTATCATACATACGTACATCAATCATCATTGTTTGCCCTAAACGCCTACCATGACAGGTTCCCAACATTTTCCTATTCAAACTGGTCAAACAACTATTGTTCACCCAGGCACTCCGGGCGTTCAGCAGCGCGGCATTGATCTCCGTCGTCGCCTTCGCCAGATCCTCGTCTGACAGCGCCAGCACGTCCTTGTGCAGCTGCCACAGGAACCCGGCACCGGAGCCGTCGATCCTGAGACGAAGTAGGGAGAATCAGAGAAATAGGGAGAAATTGACATAGATGTAGAAACTCAAACATTTGTAGATGATTTCCTGGGGAAGACCATGGAGTTTCATAATTTCACAGCTGCATTAGTGTCCTGGAGGCTACAAGGTGGTGCCCCCTATAGATATAAATTGGTTTATAAACCTCATTAACTATAGATATAACACCAACAAAAACCATAGTGAAATTGGAGTTATGTTCACCAACTTAGCTATCTTGGGGGCACCACTTTGTAGACATTAACACGGTGAATGTTAGATACCTGCCAAATACATCCAATATTTAGCTGGTTGGGACCAATATACCATTGATAGCAAAAGATTAAAGTACTAAAACATCTAACAGAGGTTGACCCAGTTAATTACCTTGGAAAAATGGGATGATAACCTTGGAAATTCGGGTGCTTTGTTGGAATTTACCTACAAGAAGAGAGATTAAATGATTAAATGGAGCCCCAGTTTGGAATCGCAGTTTGCAACTAGGCTGACTGTTAAGTGTTTGGTGATTGCTACAATTGGATGGGTGAAGATAAACCGACTCATAACTAGCCTCTGGTAAACAAACAGTTTGCTATTGAAAATGGCCATAGAAATAGTGGATTTACCCAGTAAAAATTGTGTTTTTCCATAGTTTTTTGTTTGTTTACCAGAGGGTAGCGGGTAGCACCTTAGCACAATCTGGTAACTTTACCCACCTCACTGATGATTCTGGGGGAAAATGTTGGTGAAATACTCCATGCAGAACACGCAGACAACTGACGTGCTAAAGACAACCCATGCAGAACACGCAACCCATGTTTAATCATATTTATGTAAATATGATTTTCCCAATGTGTGTATATTAAATATATAGCAATCATTATTTGTGTCCTACTACATATATATATAATAACTGCAATATGTTTGAATCACATACCATATATATGTATACTATATAATATATATATATATATATATATATTATAACTGCAATATGTTTGTATCAATTACTATAAATACATATTTAAATATATAATGTATATGCAAACAGTACATGTGATAAATGATATGAGATGAATTTGAAAACACAAAATTGACACTATGTTTTGGATGACATGGAAAACACTATATAGAGGTATTTAATAAACACATGAGGTGTTGCACATTGCACCTTGTTGAGCTAGTTAACCGGTTCTTGGAGTGCTTCGTTTTGACATGGCCTCGACTGCAACTTCCATCCACACAGTGGAAACTAGAGGCTAAAAAGGAATTACTGCGATAAGCATACAAGGTGGTGCCCCCAAGATAGCTAAGTTGGTTTATAACTCCAATAACTATGGTTTATACGTGTTGTGTCTATAGTTAATGTTGTTCCAAAAACAATTTATATCTAAGGGGCTATGAAATTATGAAACTCCATGGTCTTCCCCAGGAAATTATCTACAAATTGTGGAGTTTCTACATCTATGTTAATCCGCCGACCCCTGCCTAGCCTTAGCCTAGGCGGGGCGGCCCCCGGGATCACCGAAGGTGTGCGGCATGGCCCTGTGCCTGCTTTGTGCTTTGCCATGATGGTACCTCCCGAGGCCCCACTAGCTGTTTCTATTGGGCTTCGAAACTGCTACGTGGCACGTTTTCAGCTACCTCCCCAGGCCCCACAAGCTGTTTCTATTGAGCTTCGAAACTGCTACGTGGCACGTTTTGAACACGCCTTAGAAGCCTCAAAAGCATCAAAAGCCCCGCAGCAGCTTTCGAAGGCCTTTGAACCGCAAAACATTCCGCAGCAGCTTGCGAAGGCGTCCCGCCTGCTTTGCCATGGGACCTCCCGAGGCCCCACAAGCGGGTTCTATTGGGCTTCGAAGCTGCTACGTGGCACGTTTTCAGCTACCTCCCCAGGCCCCACAAGCTGTTTCTCTTGGGCTTCGAAACTGCTACGTGGCACGTTTTGAGCACCCCTTAAAAGCCTCAAAAGCTTCAAAAGCCCCGCAGCAGCTTTCGAAGGCCTTTGAACCGCAAACCCTCCGCAGCAGCTTGCGAAGGCGTCCCGCCTGCTTTGCCATGGTACCTCCCGAGGCCCCACAAGCTGTTTCTATTGGGCTTCGAAACGTTTTCAGCTACCTCCCCAGGCCCCACAAGCTGTTTCTCTTGGGCTTCGAAACTGCTACGTGGCACATTTTGAGCACCCCTTAAAAGCCTCAAAAGCCTCAAAATCCCCACAGCAGCTTTCGAAGGCCTTTGAACCGCAAAACCCTCCGCAGGTGTGCGGCATGGCCCTGTGCCTGCTTTGTGCTTTGCCATCGTACCTCCCGAGGCCCCACAAGCGGGTTCTATTGGGCTTCGAAGCTGCTACGTGGCACGTTTTCAGCTACCTCCCCAGGCCCCACAAGCTGTTTCTCTTGGGCTTCGAAACTGCTACGTGGCACGTTCTGGGTACCCCTTAAAAGCCTCAAAAGCTTCAAAAGCCCCGCAGCATCCCTACCCTTTTAGCAGGGGGGGACCTCCCCAAAATGTAACTTACATTTAGGGTAGGTAAAACCTTCGAAAATGTAACTTACATTTTGTGAAAAACCCATACAATCAGCACCTTCAAAAATGTAACTTACATTTAGGGTAGGTCCCTCTGAAATTTGGAGGGACCTAAAAAAGGTAATATTACATTTCTCAGGTAAAACCTTCCTAAATGTAACTTACATTTTTGAAGGTGTTATTTCTCTGGAAGCCTCCATTTTTCAAAAAATGTAAGTTACTTCTTGGGACGTCACAAAACATTGGGCCCTCATGGGATAAAAGGAAGAGGTAAACATAACAGTTATAACAGGGTTGGTGCCAGGATTACAAAAAAGACATAGATAAACAGAAAAACATCAAGAAATACCACAGAACATCCAAGAACATCTCTTAAAAAGCTATAAAAATTATAAAACATTACCCCTAGCAATCCTGAATACATTCTGAGGATGGATCTGGATTGAAAACCCATCATGGGGACGGATCGGCCCCAAGTCCATTCTGAGAATGGTCTTTCGTTTGGTGGTATTTTTGGGCTACCCCTGGGAACCAGCTTACCCCAAATTCAGCACCCACTTTTACCCTGATGGTCTCGATTTGAAGCCATCGGTGGCAGATTTCAGCCACATGCATATTGATGCAACCTCAGTTGTCAAGATAAATCATTAATCAATGGATGAAAGTGGGAGGAATGGTTGAAAAAAAACAAACATAACTATGTGGACGTATTTCAGTGGCCACACCAAGGTTGAAAAAACAAAAACATATTCAAAGAAATGCAAGTAACCCCATGAAGAAGCGAGGAAGCACCATTTGCTCTAAGTAGTTCTTCGAACATGCCACTGCCAGATCAGATATGCGACCCACGAAGCCTTCACTCTTGAATCCATGGTACCAGCGGCTGTTTTCTCCTAGGCTTTGATCATTCAAAATTCAAAATCTTGATCAATCAACAGTGCCCAACAAATTTTATGGAAAGGAATAACTTTGCTGCGTTGAAAACCAAGCATCTTTCAACATCTTCATAGTGCAAGATCTCTTGCCATGCCTAGCTAGTGCTTGCAAACAATGGCGAGCAAATTTAATCGATCCATTCCTACCCAAGAACAAAATACTGGGATGTGGTTATGGCTCAAAATTTGGCTATCCACTCACCCACCACTAGTAGTCATATTTAGGAGGAAGGATAACCTCCAAAAAAGAAAAGTTGGTATAAATCCATTGCCTAGGTGCATGGAATTTGGGTTTGCCCGGCCATCGCAACTCACCCTCCTCCACAGCCAGCTGAGCTAGTTGACAATACGCACATCGATTCTGAGCTTGGAGATGACCCCAATAGGCCTGGTTCATAATGCCCCCAGTACATTGCACACGACAGGGTATTCAAGAAAAGTAGCAGCCAAGATGGTATCCTTATTCAACCTATCAGCAATGATTGGTTGAATAAGAATCATGGGAACAAAGAAAAAATGCCAAGGGATTTGACTAGCATCGCAGTGAAGACGGAAAACTGTAACATCAGCATCTGTCAAGTAGTGACCCGTCTGTTCATGGGCATCAAACCACTGGGCCATATGAAACCTCATGTTTGGTGTCCCCTAGTATGAAAATCAATGGATGCATTATGAACTCACCAGGGTTTCTGGATCAAGACAAACCCACATAGAAAAAAACAACATAATCTATACCAGATCAAGAAACACACAACGGGTTGTAAGGCACAACTTGTCATCCCCAGGAGTAGCCAGCTGAACCAACTCATCAGCCAACCAACCGCATACCACTCTGGCCTTGGACAATGCTGCGATCAGCGTTTAACATGTTTCCAAGTGAATCCAAAGAATAATTCATTGACCATTCAGCGACCTCAAGATGGAGCTGGCAGATTTATTGTATGACAGGCTGCCCTGCAGTTGATGGACGGCAACGGCAGATAGTCCTATTTGACAGTGCTCCCCAGCTACCCCTTGGACCCCCCCTGGACCCCCCCTGGAATGCCCCTGGACCCCCCCTGGTGAGTTTAACGGAGTTTAACGCAGTTTAACGCCGAAACCTTTCCCAGGATAGACTTTAACGCAATTTAACGGGATTTTAACGCCATTTTAACGCAGCCCAGGACCCGGCTGGCCTCCAAATCCACCTTTCAAACCCAAGTCTTCTGGCCAAGCGCACTTCCAAATTGGACCAAAATCCCGCAAATTCCAATGAAAATGAAGGGAAACCTGTGAAAAACCACGTGTTTTTCATGGTGTTTGATCAGAATCCTCAAAAAACACATGCTTTCTTCACATTTTGATAGGAAATCAATCAGAGCTAATGAAAACATTCCAAAAACACGCGTTTTTTTCGAATTCTATCATAGGGTACACCCCAAACCATGGAAAAACACGTGTTTTTGTAACTTCTATGAACTTGCATCATCAAATGTGCCTAAGACCATGGAAAAACACGTGTTTTTGTTGCTTCTATGGAATGGCATCC